ATGATCTGTTAATGAATACTAGACTAATTATTTTGTTGATCCTGATCACCCTATTTTTCTTGCTTTTGGGCAACAAAGCTTCACCTCTCAGTTCATTTTCTAATCTATGGATCCTCTAAATTGTTGTATTATACTCAGGTGACCGTTAAGGCCCTTGGGCCTCTTGTAAAGTTAATTCACTCATATCTCACCACAACGTTTTATATATACCACGTGTATATATTTTATGTTTTCCATACCCTATGCTTTGCTTTTGTACTGGAAACTTCATATGAGAATACCGATATACATGAAGAGATCAACTCATTCTTGATATCAAGGTTAAATATGAACAACACATATAATTTATATCGTTTTTGGTATAATTTGTATTTTTACAAGGGCTTTAAACTGGTATCATATTTTCCGTTCCGTTCCGCATATTAGCAACATCCTTAGGTTAAGAAAAATTTCTTTAACGTATTTATTAACCTATTATGAGGTTATTTTCTGTGTAATCTTTAAACCAATTGTTGATAAAAAGCTTTTTTAACAGTAGAGGGACTAAAGTTGAAATTTATGATTAAAAAGTATACGCTCTACTTGTTTATATATAGTACGTTTAATTGGTCACCAATTTCATTCTGATGGTGTCTTTTAGTAATGCTAGGGAGACCATTTCAGAAAGACCTGGCATCATTAAGGGTCAAAATTTTTACAACTCATTTTCCAAAAAAAAAAATCACTGAAGATTGCGAAAGTTGTTCATGATTGAGTGATTTTCTATTGCATATCCTGTTTTGAACAATTGTTTAAAGCCCAAATAATTTCATAACTATTTTAAAACCATGATGTGACGCAATTGAAGTATGTCAGTCCAAAATATGCAATTCGTTTTCCTTTCAGTATAATTGACTTTCTACAATCAGCCATGTCAACTTTTCGAAGTATTTCTCCTGACACTGAAAAAAAAACTAAAGAGGATACTATCTGTTATAAGCAAAATTTTCCGACTTCCGTAGAATTGAAAAGACTTTATGGTTTGGGTTTTTAAATGTTACACTGTACATATTATGTGCAGGCATGATTACAAATATCGAATAAAAAATAGAAGTCAATGGTATGAAGACAAGCAACGAAAAGGTAAACATGTATAGAAAAGCGAAAATATTGTTAAATGTTACCCACTTCACTGCAAATACGACGAGTTCGGTTTCATTGCACCGATTAAAATCTTTCTACCTGACATTTTAAGTTAGTGTTCCACATTTGAGGCAGTGTATTTTATAAATTAAATTTATAAATTAAAAAAAGGGTCAGGCAGTTTTGTTTTATACTTCTAATGCAAGGTTTGGTCACAAGTTTCAGTCCTTCGCCGGCCATTAATGACCTAATGAGTTAAAAAAAAAATGAAATATAGAGCAAGAAAACGACACTGTATAGATATCTGATTAATTTTCACTAAAATTTCCATAATAATCAAATTATTATCAATGTCAGACCAAACCATAATATTATTAATTCAAATTTAGTTAAATTTAGTACATATGGTACATATGGTGTTCACTCTGCTGATTTGCATATCGGCCATTATGGAACTATAATGGCGGCTGAATTTATAAAGGTTTATATAGAGAAAACACAAATAATCGCGAATTTTTATATCCTAACTATTTCAGATAAAGTTCTTCCGCCGATGGTTTGATTCTTCTTAATATCTTCTACCGGAAATGGCAAGATTGTTGATACCGACGTGAAAGTTGCGACCGCCTTTTTGATTTGAAAATTCGAAGTGAGAGTATATTGTTTTAATGAAAGATAGAGCACAGAACTGGTGTTTTTTTTTGTTTTTTTGTTTTTTTTTTAATCATTTTTTATGAGGAAATGCAAGTTTTATTACAAGTTGACAGAGTTCTTCCGCCGATTAAGAGGTGCAGGAGAGAGCCTATTTTTATAAAATACATACGTTTTACCATTCCATGGGGAGTTACGACTGCCTTATTAATTTGAAAACGGCAATTTTTTGCATCAGTGTGACCTACTTTATCTCGGGAAAACGGGAAAACAGTCGTCAACTGTTATTCACACAAAGTTCTACCCATATATCTATGACAGAGCCTTGAAGAAAAAACAAAACGAAACAGGCTTGCAGGTTTTAACATAAAAATTTAAAGAAATGGAATTTCGAGTTTATTCAGTATCTTATGTATATTAATGAGAAATTAATCACGTGGAAGCAATCTCATGAATAAATTGCACACAATTTCTCCATGTGATAAAAATATGTCCGTAGAAAATCTTCATTGGTCCTTTAAGTTTAGATTCCAGACTCGGGACTCTTTTCAGTCATTTAGACCTTTTCTCATATAAACCCTTATCTTTCTGTAATGCCGTCTTTTACAATATATTTTTTTTATTTTGAATTAAAGAATAGTGATTCTGCTGGATTCAGCTTGCTTTCGTCAACAAGTCGTCAGAAGAAAAAGAAACAAATCTACGCCGTTCGTATTCTGATGACAGAGTTAAGCTGGCAATGCCTGCCATTCTTTTATTACGTACATTTCAATTCATGTACGCGACACCAGTGTAGGGATATTTAATAGAGGTATTATGTTGCTAGTAATTGAGATGTGATTTAATATTGATCGATAAGTATCATATATGACAAAGGTATCCTCACGCCATCATTAGTTCAGCTTTTAATATGACAATCTTTAGACAAAGTTGAATTGATATGGTCTCTTGATATTCTCCATTTTTGTTTACAAAATGTTTGTTTGTTTCTTTCAGTTAAAATGCTAAGTGAAAACTGATTGAGAATTTTTTTTCTTTCTAAAATGTAACATTTTGTTCCTGCTCCGAATGACCCATCTATTATTGCAATTTAAAAATGTAATCAATAGAGCGAAAACAAAAATGAGGCCAATCAAATTAAATGTTCAAGTCTCCAACCTGCCGAGTCCGAATAAAGTACACCATCATTCATACTCTAAAGCTAATCCAAGTTTAATTTTTGAACTCTTAATTAAAAACATTCAAGTATTAAACCCCTTAATTATACACAATAAAAGTCAACATCGGATGCAAATAACCCATTTAACAAAGAGAAATACTTAAAAGAAGTTACGTTTTGTGGTCTAGTAAATTTATTTCATTTCAGATTTTTTTTTGTAATGCGCTGCTCTCTTGCCAATGAAGATAGAGTACATTAAGAGCGCAAATTAGTCCAAATCCAAAGAGATTAAACAAGTGCAACTTCCATGTCTTGTATTTATGTGAGACAACTTTAATAAAATATTTATCTAAGTATTGATTACGTGTTGAATTTCATTAGTGTGTGATATAAGCTTCCAAAATAAGACCAGAGTGTACGAAGTTTGGGACAGTAGTAATATTACTTTAGTAGTCATAAATACACATTTACGATTTTATATATCCAAATGAATGTTTCTCAAAATTCAACTGACATTGTTGTGACCCAGCGATCATGGAGTGAGACAGGTGATCTTAGTGAGATTTAATCAACCAGGAAGTAAAGTATTTAAACGCACAGACGACGTCAACATTTCATTGATAACAGAAGGTGTAGGTGTGTCAATATCTTAGAGGACGGCTTCAGGTAAGGGCTACTTAATTATACTTACCTCATGATAGAACTGCCTTTCTATTTTATAATAGGTCAAATGTTTGACGATTAAAAATTTGTTGACTGCTCGGAAATGCAATTGAAATCTATGTTTAAGGGTCTAACATTTTTCTTAATCTGACATGGATATAAAATCAGTGTGCGTTTCAGTTGAGTGCGTTTAATTACACACAAGAATATAAAAAAAAAACTCTCGAAAGTCTGTTATGCATTTGTCGGGATTTGTTAATGTTTAAAAATATTTTGAATAATGATGAAAATTTCAACACAATCCTACATATTATAAATGATGGAGTCGTAACCATCAAAAACATTGGCAGTAGACGTAAAAATTGTGCACAGCCAATATAACAAGAACTGATGTAGCATGACTTGGATACTTTTTCATAACAACACTTGTCTTATTTAATATATATAACTAATGTATTTTTAACCAAACTAATCCATCCCGATGTTTGCTATTCATAGACCTAGGAAATTCCTGAACTTTTCTAATTCATGCTAAATGAATTTTACATGATTTAGCATGTATTTAATGTATAAGAATAAATCTATGTGATTAACAATTTTTATCCGAAAACAATAAAAAAAATCAGTTATAAACAGCATTCCAACTATCATTGTAATAAACTCTTTTTTGATTTAGAAGTATTTTGCACAACGCCCATATTTTTTTTTTAAAAATCGATACCAAATGAACAAAGATATTCATGAACATAACTTGAATAAAGGTAGAAGTTTTACTTTGTGCATAGTGAAAGCCCCTCTTCTTTTACCTTTTCCTCCTCATGAAATTGTAAATACATGTAATACTATTTTACAACAAAAAATGGATGCTGTATCTTTAAAACTGATGGTTTCTAATAATAGAGATACTTTTTAAGTTACAAATATTATCTTTGATAATCAGTTCTTAATCAAGCGAATATCTCATTAATATCCTTACATAAAAAACATTTTATTCACACCTTTTAACTTAGGGAATCGGATATTCAGAATAATAACACAATTAAATAACGTTTCCTTTAATTACGCTAATAGTCATAAAAACAAAACAGAACAAAATTTAGTCTTTAAACCATACTATCTTTTTGCCTAAGTTAAGAGAAAATTCATTGGAATGCAGTTGGATTAAAATCAATATGTGACAGCTTTAAAACATACAGTATAGATGATTACTACCGATAAGAAAGGAATGCGAAAACAAACTCAATGAATATTTAAATACGTCACCGGGTATATTTATACACAAAAGACCTCATGGTATAAAAATCACTTTCTCTTAAACATTTACAGTAAAGTCTGGATTTTGTCCTACACAAAGACATGGTGCCCATAGGAGTGATTGCAGGTTTAATTTTTGGAGGAGCCTTTTTACTTCAAAATGGTAAGTTAAAACCAGGAAATTGAGTAGGAAATGTCTAGACAAGAACGATTTCATAAAGTTATAATAATATACTTTCTATATAATTTTATTCAATATATATAATAATTGAAACTTGTAATAACTTTGAATTTAAACTATAATTCTTTGATCGATAGATTCATTAAAACAAAAAATAAATAAATAAAATAAAGGTTCATTTTGTAAACCTTGGTTGTGTATATAAAAAATAGAACAACACAGGTTGTAGGTCTCAGCGCAGATTGTATTATATATGAAATATATGGAGATTCCGAACAGTATTCAAGCTCAAAAGTCCATTCAAATCAGGAGCAGAGCAAACACGGACCTCTAAAATATCAGAGGTGGGATCAGGTGCCATGGAGGAGTGAGCATTTACTGCCGACCGGTCACACCCGCCGTGTGCTCCTTGTTATGACCGGGAAATAACGGAAAAATCCGTCGAGTAAAAATGGTATAAATAAGTAAATATCTCGGTCTATCTGGCCCTGCCAAATCAATGTACAAAACCTTAGCGATGTTTACATTACTCAAGTGTTCATATAATAATACAAATCGCTAATCATAAGATAAGTCTGTCACTTATTAATACGTATCATAGCTCAATAATTTTAACACTTATAAATTTAATTTATACAGTGATCTCCACTGAACCTAATACATTATTTAAGATTAGCTATAAAGTTATTTACACTTATATTTACAAATTACTTTTAATGAATGACTTACCAAAATTATGGAATGAGGCTATTCCGTAATCTTATATGGAACTTTTTACCAAGTGCTGTGCTGTTCTGAAAAAGTTAAACATACAAGTTTTTAACTACTGAAAATATAGAAATGGAGAAATCTCAACCAGAAACAATACCTAAACTTCAAACATACCATGACTGAAAAGTCCAAAAAGTCACAAATCTATAAATTGTTAACACACAACCTGCTGGTACATGTACAACGGCACGGGAAAAGAATGACCAACATCCCATAAAAAAATAAAAGCTTGTCGATGGTCACAAGTCATGCGATAGGTCTGCTCCAATTGCTCAATGGAGTTTTGGCGGGAAAGTAATTCAACAAAATTGTAAAGTAAATAAACACACACACTTATTTTGTAATTTGTTTGTAAAACTTTTAATCTATACCTATGTATATTTCATAGTTATAAATGCATTAATAGTTCTAATATGCTACAATTTGGAATAATGCTATTAGGAAACAGGATTAAAATTTTGCTATTAGTGTGTATTTTTATAAGAAATGTTCTTTTCATTGCTTTTTAAACTTATTTCTCATTAAGGAATTTTTGGAACAATCATCAATTCCGATGCACTATCCGACGGGATGTGTCACTCGGAGGAATTGGGAATTGAGATTTCGATGGAGTGTGACATTACGAACATAAAAATCAACATAGTTTCAGGTCTTTTAGCTGAATGCATGTATATCAATAATGACACGTTATTTTGCCAAACTGCGGAATCGGTGCAATATCACCACAATAGCAGTGGAGTTTTGACAATTACTACTCCATTTAACCACACGATCTATGCTGGTAACACACTGTGGGTGAACACTACCTGTTTTAACAGCAGCAGCGTCCATGAAAATATTCTTCTTAAGCCTTGTCGTAAGTCTACTAACTTCTGTCTATATGTTATGATTTGAAATGATTTTGTTACAATTAAGGTTTTTTTTAAATGGTACACAATAATGTTAAACCAGAGAGAAATAAAAGCCCTATTTAAAGGACACCAAGTATTATAACTGACAGAATTTCCAGTTTGCGGTTAAGCAGTGGAAGGGACTTAAATGATAGCATATGTAAGCAGAAGTCACCGGCTAGACTTTAGCTCTTCCAATGTTAACTTTTCACAAAATATGTCTACTTACTAATATGGGACAAAAACTGTTGGAGAAGTTAAAAATTTTCACAACTTAAATACTGTCTTACGTCTTATTGAAATCGGACCAGGACTATGGAGAGACAGAAAAACCGACAGATGGACGGACAATTCTTTTAGGCCCTGGATTGTATTTGAGCGAAAATAGACTTGTTAACTTATTATATTACCTTAACTTCATATAAATATCACGTCTATAATCCCACTAACTAGAATTATAAGGAAGACAAAAAGTAAGATTTGTGAAAACACATCTGTATAAGAATGCAAGAAATATCTGCTAGTGTCGCTACATTATATTTCTGGGGACTTAATTCGCTACCAAACAATTTTTTTGTACTAAGAAGGTTTCCTTATTTGCGAAATATTCTTATTATTTGTCCAAAATGATTTTACAGACAGCTCGGTAAAATAGGCGAAATCTAGTTGATTTGTAGCATGCAGTAACTGTTTGTTTGAACATTGGTTCTGATCTACTTGCAAATCTCAGTGATAAACTGAGGCTAACATGTGACTTTCATCATTTTACTATTTAAACATTAGTTATATTTGCTTCGAATTTTAATGTTAGAAATATATTCCTTTCTCAGTTTCTGGGTTTCATACAATGGCATACCATAACAACACGCATGTTACAATTTCCTGTGAGCATACGTCATTCAGGTTTTCCAACCATGGTATACGCATTGTTGGCGAAAACGATTTGGCACACTGCAGCTGGAATAAAGGAAATCAAACGAACAATTGTCACGGAGATGCTGAAGGTATATATTTTAATCTGTATTTAGACGACTCCTAAGTTCTTGAACGGGTCCTGTGCTCTTAAAGAATGACGGAGTAAGGAAATAATCTTTGTATTGCTAAATCGGATCCAAATGCGATATGTGAAGACGATGGGCTAAGACAATATAATACAGATTAGCAGTTTAAGTTTTCAGGAGGAAAAATCCTCACTGATTGTTGTCGAGTACAGCAGAGTCGCAATCTAGAACTTAACGTATCTGCAGTTTTCTAATAATTTGTCCGTAGGATGTGACAGGAATTGCATCTTCGCTAGCCAAGAGTTTCTGATCCGCTACTCTACTCTGTTCACAAACCCTTGGCCTACGGTGCTGTCAAAAGTCGAGATTTTTTTTCTCGAGTTACGATTGGAGTTGATTGATTTAGTTCGACCAATCAGCAATTGTTTTTGTAAATGACGGTATCTGCGTTCGTGGTATATCTTGACTCAATTGTCTTGGGATTAAAAGAACAATTAAACAACGATGAGTAAGATAACATGCAATTCTACAAATAGCTATGGTGTCATCCCATCTTAAGTTGATATGCAAATAATGTGAACAGGAATCTTTATTACAACAGATTTGCACCCTAATAACAAATAAACATCGTTCGATACGTTCTTATTAATAATTCTTTCAAAACTTTATTTTTTAAGATCTCTTTATTTCTGTCGATGACGCAATCTATGCGTATACCTACTGTAACACTACACCCAAGTTTTTTAGGTCTTTGCAAAAAGACTAGTACCTTTAAATGATATTGCCAGGCGCTTGACGAAAAGACTACTAAGACTTTAGGTCTTGGGTTTGTCGCAGTGCGGTGAAGGACAATCAAATCAAACTCCCGGTTAAGAAACGAATACAGTTAAGTACCGGTAAGGAGAGTAGGCAAGACTTGTGCAGCAACTGACGGCAACACAAAGCGAGCAAAAAAAAATAATATCCATTAAGGCCATATTTAAATAAATTGGTTGCCCTCTCCCGACTGACTGGCTAAAAATGGCCCGACTCAAAACTCTCCCTCCGGAAAAAATACTTCGAAAATTCAGCACTGATGTTGAAATTTTCTAGGAAAAAAAAAATCATCCTACCTACCGACCCATTTTATTCATCCTGGGTCGGGAGAGGGCAAGCAAACATTATTTTAAAGTTGGCCTAATAGAAATCATATTGGAGAGAGGTATCGTTTCTTCAGTTTTCAAGGCAACTTGATTTTTGTAAACAAAAAAAGATAATCTAAAGTTACTGAATAATAAAGAGAAATCACGATTGTTTTTAGTGTAGAAACGTTCATAATCGGTTTTTTGTATAATAGAATAAGGTTGGCTCTTTCAAGAGGCTTGGAGATAGTTGTGTCGTTAGCAATTTAAATTTATATTTTTATTCAAAAATAAAGTATAATGATCTTAAATTACAAAAATATTCTGAGAATTAAATGACAACTGCATTCTTCATGATATCGAATACATATACCACACGTTCGAGTGTAACATAGCAGAATGTTTGCCCCAAGGTGACAGGAAAGCCTTGCAGTGATATGTCAGCCAATGTCGAAGATTGTGGTAGCGGTTGAATGACATTTTCCAAAGTAGATAAAGCAATCCAGAAGGCGCAAGTGAAATAAAATTAAGGAACTGTGCATCTTCTTTTATGACGACATGTAAATATTTACTTTTTTAGCTCTTGCCAATGGCGTAAAGTACACTTCACTATATACCCGAGGAATGAACATAACATGTAAATTCGACGGACAGTCAGTAGATATTGCTCCTCAACAACAAACAACAATGCAAACAACGAATATGACACCCAGCACCACCAAAACACCACGTACGACATGATGTACATTAACAATCTGAATAAATGATTCTTTTTTTTTTAGATTTTCAAAATTATATTTTTTTTACTAATCGGTATAATTGTGTACGGGAAATAGCTGAAATGTAATAATAAAACTTACCAATTGTTTTGTATTACGTGAAACCAAAAAAAATAATTTTCCTCTTATGCAAAAAGTATTCAATTATTAGATTAATTTTTGTTGTCTTTTTCAGTGAGTTCAACTTCATCGCAGAGTCATGAGAACGGATCCCGGAGTCCAGATAACGGACAAACAAAAGTGATCTGCCCCGTTTCGATTATCTCTATTTTGTGTATCTTGTATTTCATTCACAGAGATATATTTATCTGAGAACAGCCGAATCAAAAGGAAGGAGGTTCATATATCCCTTGTGATATATATGTCTACTGAACCCTCCGTCTGTTTCCATCGTGTACAAGAAATTCGAGAAAAAAAAATCGAAAATGATTTCATATCACAATATTCATCGTGGAACCACTGTGCTGTCGAACCTTTTTTAGTTTAATCAAGATTATGTTGGCTATTTAGCTGAATAACAAGAGGAGCGATCTGAATGTGAATTGTTTCTCTTAGAGACAACGATGAGACACAGGTTTACTCTGCTGGAGAGAAGACACAATTTATCAGCCGATTAAGGAGTATCGGTATTTCCCATTACTGATAATGCCGAGCAAGATTGACACCAATTTTGATTATACACTTGGTTTAAGTAAAGATAAATTTCTTTTTTTCTGGATTAGTATTTATTTAATCTGAGGTAATCATTCGCGTGATTTACATTCATTCTAACTTAATTTGTTTTACGTAATACAAAGAGTTTAACAGTAATTAAAAGACAATTCAGTGAGAAAAAAAAAACATCATCATAGAATAGCCAACATTTGATTGATTATTGTTGTTGCCGAGTCGGCAATATTTCAGCCATATTTCGGCGGTATGAATTTACTGTATGAACGGTTTTGAAACTTCTTGGGTTTCTCTGGCGGCCCCCAATAAGCCTACCCTTTTTCGAAAACCAGAGAAACGATCTTTAGCGTACCAAGGGGGTTGTAATCCTTGACACTGGGCACCCTTTTCCGTCCCATCCGACGGACTTGACCAACATTTGATACACTCATAGTTTGCTATTAGTAAGTTCTAGTAAAATGAGGAAAAAATAACATATAAGGACTTGAGTTAGAATTATAAACAGTATCAGCTTCTTGATATTCTTAGCATGAACCAACGTAATATTGAGACTAAGATAAGGAAAAGTGATCAATCTCATAACAGATGACGAAATCGTGAACAGGTCGACAACACGCACTTCTGGAATCACAAGGGGTTTGACCAGTTGACCTTTTCACAAAAAATCTTACGACAATTTTTTATCTTAAGTGAAAACTTACGATAAAAATCGTTTTCACAAAAAATCTTAAGAAAGTCGTAAGTGCAAAATCTGTCGTAAGTCTACGACAACTGCAACCCACTCTTAAGTATAAAATATTGTACTTAAGTGCAAAAAATAGCGTAAATATTAATCTTAAGACAGAAATAAATGTAAACAAAAATGGCTGCTGCGTTTGTTGTTTTATTCGATTCGGAGAGAGCAAAGCGTCGGGAAAGGGTATTTCGAGATCGGTGTAACTCTCTAGACACATTTAATGACACTGAAGTTGTAGCGCGGTATCGCTTTCCAAGGCGATACATTTTCGAGCTGGTTGACCTAGTGCAAGACAAAATCCAACATCCAACCACAAGATCATATGCCATTCCTTCACATATCCAAGTAAGTTTTAACTTGTAGCTGTTCTTTTCCAACTCGAAACATAAAAGAGCTAACGGTTGTCGGTGGGTTTCGTCCCCTTGAAACTTCGGTGTATCGAAATTTCGTCTCCAAGCAAATTGGCTCCTACAAATTCAAGTGAATAGTTAGTATATATGAAAAAAAATACAAAAATTGGTTAAATACTTTTTTTAGAGAAATTTACTTTGAACTGAAGGAATAACACATTAATTCCATTTATTGGTCTTATTTTAAACCTTATAATTTGCTACATTACTTATAAATTATTTGTACGGACAATTGACTGGAATTTTTTAGATGTGATTTGTTCCATCCATTTTACTGTAACAGTCTCATTCAATAGCACAAGAGGTCCATAAGTCACAATGATCACCCGGGTAACCAATTGACTTCCAGTTTTAATTTTTCATCGCAAAATTAAAAAAAATCAACTTTATATTCACATGATATATTCTAATCTATTGCCCACCATAGCCCAACAGGGTCAAGTCATAGTAATCTAACTTGAAACAATCCTAAGGACACTTTAATATTATTATGATTAACGAGTACAGTGTATTAGATAAAATGTTTTAATTGCCCTAATCTCACACCAGGAGCCATTAATTGTAATTACATTTTTCAAAAATTAAATTAACTCTCACAACTTTGGATTGTTTGCATATGAATGATGTGTCCCTCCTATTTCAAGAATATTTTCAAATAAATATCTTATAGCTTAATCTGTACTTGTTGAATTCCTTTCACCCAAGGATGCTTTTCATAAGCTTAATTTGTGGAAATTAAGTTTGTTGGAAACTGCCCCAGAGGTTCTGGAGCAGAGGTTAAAAATATAAAAATTTTACAGCAGGATGGGTGGACACTGGAAAAATGTAGTCCGAAAAGCTCATCTGAGTTATAATTTCAGTCATGGTGAGTGAAAAAAGTAGAGATAGAAAGAATTGGAGAGGAACGGAAAATAGGTGGGGGACATAGGTAGACATAGGTAGGCCCCTGCCAGTACAAATCCAATGTAATTGCAAACCCCAAATTGTTCAAACCTGGAATGTTATATTTACTTTCCTAACTAAATTTAAAATTAAACAATGCTTCATATTTCAGGTGTTAACAACCCTACGCTTTTTAGCCAAAGGAGAATACTTGTCTGAGGTTGGGGATCTTCATGGAATTTCAATATCATCTGCTTCCAGGATTGTCACCTCTGTTTGCTCTGCTTTGTGCGAGTCCCTAGACAATGTAAAGTTTTCTGAGACAAATGAAGACCTTGCAAAGGTGAAAGAGGATTTCTATCAATTGGCAAGTTTTCCAAATGTTGTTGGGGCAATTGATGGAACACTGATACCCATCCAAGGGATGACAGGAGATGAGGAGCCAAACTTTATCTGTAGGAAAGGGTTTCCAGCCATTAATGTCCAGGGTGTTGTAGATGCCAACCTTCGGTAAATATTCTTAAAAATAACAAGTAACCATACTGCAAGTATATATTTACTGCATCATTTTTGCAAACTTGAATTAGAATCAAAACAATGCACAAAGTTTTATAGCAAATTATATATCTTTCACAGCTTTTCAAACATAGTGGTGAGGTGGCCAGGAGCAACACACGACTCCTTTATTCTACAGAATTCCTCGCTACCAAACATAATGAGAAGAGTTAATGGTTGGCTCTTGGGGGATTCAGGCTATCCACTCAGGAAATGGCTCTTGACCCCATTTGTAAACCCAAGGAGTCCTCAGGAGCAGAGGTACAACAATGCCCATTGTACTACAAGAAACACAGTAGAAAGGGCATTTGGAGTTCTCAAGAGTAGATTCAGGTATAAATAAAATACTCATATAAATACCAATTTTAGTAAATTCATCTGCACTATTGAAAAGGATTGAAAGGAAACTATTTAGTAGTACACATATATTCATTGCAACATTTAAAATATAATCCGAAAAGAGTTCCTTATATATCATATTGTGCAAACAATACAGAGAGAAGTCTTTTTTTCAAACTTTATATAACGAATGAATTTAATAGCTACCCAAGTTATACTGTGTTACCTGGGTTAGGGCAGTTTACGCTTTATAAAAAACATAAACTGCGCCAACCCAGGTTATACTAGTATAACTTGGGTAGCTATTAAATTCATTCCTTATAATTTATTTTCCATTATGAAGTATTGAAATTAATTCAAATTATCTTTCAAAAATGCCTTCAAATTGAGCAAATTTTAAATGTAACGTGAAGCGGATTGATACGTTTTTGACGAAAGTCATTGTGATGTAGGCAACACAGGTTATTACACAGTTAAAGTATATCGTTAGCAAGATTCCTGTTCCCCAAGGCCAGGACTATTTTCCGAGGCAAAGCCGAGGGAAATAGTCCTGGTCGAGGGGAACTGGAATCTTGCTAACTCCCGCAATGATATACTTTAACTGTTTTATTAAACCGATACAAATGTAAAATTTAGAGGATTCAGATAGCGTGATTTCAAAGCAGGGATTAGCTCACTGAACTAACACACAGGAATGAATCCATTCACATATCATTCCAAAGTAAAATCTAGAGGATTACGGATAACCGGAAATTAGCTTTCGAGGCACTTGGATTAGCTCACATGACTAACGCATGGGGATTAATCCATTCAAAACGATTTCTAGGGAATAAGTCACATCTAACGATCTAATGTTATATAGGGAAAAAATTGGTAGAGGTATAAGAAATGATATAGACTAATTTTTTATCCAATAAAATTACGTGATACAACCAAAAATAAATCATTAAAATATGATGTAATCTAAATATTTGATTTACAGATGCATTCACAAAACAGGAGGCAGTTTGCAGTTTGCACCTGAAAAATGTATAAAGATTATCGAGTGCTGTTTTAGGCTACACAACAAAGCCATAGATGCCAGAATTCCACTAATTGCTGGAAATGAACCCGTCCAGCTTTATCAAAACAATGTTGCGTATCAAGGCTTGGATAATGATGGAATTGCTGTGCGGCAAAGACTTGTTCAGAGGTTTTGAAAACCTTTGCTATGTTTTAGGATAATAATATATTCTTGTTTGTTGTATACATGTTTGCTTTACATCCCTTCGAGATTTTTTTCATTAGTTAGCAACATCCAGTAGTGTTGTAGCTCAGATAAATTATGCAAGGATGGAACAAACATGTACAATATACTGAAATAGACTGCTGGTTATTTTTCATATAAATGGAATTTGTGTTCTTAATCTATTCCATAAGTATAAATGTCTATAAATGTAATCTATGTAATACATAATGTGAAGTTGTCTTTTGATAAAAAAAAAGGTTATTCCCCTTTAATGCAATTCCATTCATTTTAAATAAATGTATCCTTTTCACAGACATGTATTTTCTGTTTATAAAGCCTTTTAAAAAGATTAGAAACAGGCAGTATACATACTTTAACAAAAGTGGGAGGTACCTAGTTAGAGCGATTTATAAGAAATATGTTATTGAATTTTTCTCCATGAAATATTCTGGTTGGTACAATCATGATTTCAGTTGGGTAATAGTACCAAGTAATGACAGATTCACTCCAGACAATGAATACATGCATTGTATGTACATGTATAAATAAATGAAGAAAAATGATTTATATCAGAAAAAAAAAAAACCAGGAAAGTTGTCATGTCACAAATTCTAATCTAGGTTACAAGAATAAACATTATGAATCATCCAATTCTTGACATTTATTGATTTACATGTACTATTATTGTTTATGGAAACAAATTCTCTCTTTCTATCAAGAAAATATCATGCAAGTAACTATCCCTACATGTACTTGAAAGAGACCATGAAAAACACCTGCAGGTGTAAATGGTGCATGTAATACATCTTTTTCTGATATAATTCAATAACAATATGCACTGTTCTGTTACTTTTATAATGTACACAAAAATAAAATGCACTTACAAATGTATAAACAATTAGTTGAAAAATTCTTTTTTCAGATGAACTAAATGTGTCAGTTTGACATGAATGCTCCCGCAGACAGGCAAATTTTAGATATGAGAATATCCAAGAGTATGAAAATAACAATGGTTGAAAATGGCACAAAATAAAATATATTGCTGCTTTTGTTTTCTGGAATCAATTTTCTGTTCCACAACATACTTAATCTGTGTGAAAATGGTAATCACTTACAAGTATAGCATAAAAAATCTGGAAAACATTAAATGATTAGAAATTTTCAAAGTCTAAGGGCCATAACTTTTGTAGAAATGGAACAATTTTAATCTGTATCTGATCAAGATCAAGAGAAATACCCAAAAAATTCTCAATACAGCAAATTAAAGTCTGGAAAACTATCTATGATGGATTGACAGATAGAAGGGGGTAATACTATATGCCCAGCTGGCCATTTCATGAAGACTTGTAAAAATTTTGCATCATAATTTATCATGATAGATTTGAAAAGTTGATGATAGGGGAGACTGAAAATGGTGACACAGGGGAATTTACAGAATGTCCTGGAAGCTTTAAAACAAGTAATTCTAATGCTGCTGTAGATCTCCTCTGCAGTTGAAGCATCTCATCCTGTTGTGCCACCATCTTTTCATAGAGTTCAATCTTCTTAGCCCGGTACTCCTGAAGATGCTTTTCTTTTTCTCTTTCCATTTCAACAAACTCCTCCCGAATATCTTTTGTTGTTGTTGTCTCAGTCTTGACTGGAAATACAGATACATGCATTATCATAAACCAGCTACTGAATTGCTAGGTAATTATAAGCATTTAATCTCTGATTCTCAAAATTTTGTTATATAATGTTAATAAAACATTGTGCATATGTACCCATATTTCAGCAAATCTATTTGAACTTAATTTCTCAGCCATCATGCATTAACATTTCAAGCAGAATATATCACTCACAGCTACTGTTATGAGATTTCTTCCTTTTCATTGGCCTTGTGGAAGATGAAGTACTTTCCAATGAAATACATGCTTCTGGACTTACTGTCTGTAAAAAAAAAAATATGCATAATTATTCTTTAAGAGAGAAGATATCCAAAATATTTTTCATAGAGACTTACTTAGAAATCAGTGGAAGATTTTTTTTAGAAGAAGAATACTTTATTTTCAATTTTTTTTATTCTTTCCCCTTCAAAGGGACCTTGCTCAAAGGATGCTTTGTGGCAAGTTTGATTAAAATTGACACAGTAGTTTAGGAAAATTAAGACATCAAACATATGAAAAGTTTTGAGAAAACAGACACCGGGTTACGTGTTGCACATGATCAGAAAAACGCACTTGAGCCTTTGACTCAGCTGAGCTAAAAAGAAGTGGAAGATAAACATTTTAAATTATAAATTATAACTAATTAAAAAATGTACCTGACACACTTGATGGCAGAGTTGCAGCAGAAGTTTCTTCCACTAAGGTCACGGTGCTCTCTAAAATACATTTGAGAATGGTGTTTAATCAATTAATAGCAAGTAAGAACTCCATGTTTGACACAATATAGTTTATAGTATGACTTTAACATAAAAATATATCACTGTGAATTCAGTTTGCATTGAATTGATACATGGGTTCCTATTGGGGCTTATAAGCAAAACAAGACTGAAGTATAAAAACTAGTACACTAATTGATCATAGAATAATTACCGGTAAAGGTCTTTCCACCTCCTTAAAATTTAATCTATTCTTCATATTTAACTCCCTACAGCTAAATTTTATGGAAAAGAGACTAGAAATTGCTTAAGAGATTAAAAAAAAATTAAGTGACCTTGACCTTTGACCTTGACCAAATCTCTTCAATGTCAAAGCCCAAGGACCACATTGCAGTTGGTCCCCATGTTTCTGTAATTATACGTTTAAAAGTTTGAGGGTTAAATGATAAGTGCATAGATTTAAGAAGGACAATTACTCACAAAAGGGGTCATCAAATCCTTTTGCACTGAATAGATTAAAGTTTCGTGTTGAGAAATGGAAGACATTAGTGAATGTTTGGTATATTTATGGTTTACAGTTTCAAAAGAGCAGCAATAACAAGGTTTACAGAGGAAGGGCCAATGACCTTTGAATGGGTCAAGCCTAGGAGGCAAGAATGAAATTTTCAAAATAGTTTTCAAAGGACATATTCTGATTCTGGAGAAGAAGATGAAATTTAAAAGAGGCCCAGGGAACAATGTTTATTACAATCATGCCAACAGTTTGACTGCCTGATATTCAGGAGTGAAGAGGAAGGTTTTTAAAGATAGCACTAATTTTGATGGTTTTAGCCCCATCCCTAAGGCCCAACAGGTACCCTGAAATTCACAATTTTTGCACCCTTCACTCATTAATGCTATATGCAAAAATTGGTTCAGGGGTTCAAGAGAAGAAGCTGAAAATGTATAAAAGTTTATGACCGACGAACAATGGACAACGCAAGAAAACCGATAGCTATAGTTAGGTCATCGGAGTCACTCAGGTGACCTAAAAGGTTAGCGATGACGCCAACAAAAACAATGGCAAGAGTTTTAATCAGAATAATAAGAGTTATAATAAAACCGAATACATACCAGACAAATTTTCAGGCAAAACTGCATCAGCACACATAACAGACATGGAATCATTATCTAGAGGAATATTAAGTACTGTGATGATGATGATACAGATTAGAATATTTATAAACAAGCTGAATATATTTCACATCTTCTTCAATATACATGTAACATACATGTAAATGACTCAAAATATTTCATTATACTTGGAGTTACACTATATTTTTCTAAATGTAAGTTGATATTATTTCAGATTTGTTATGCATCAGAAGAATAATGTTTACCTTTCTCCATTAAATTGAAACATGATGTATCATGATCTAATGGTGCTGCAGTACATGTACTTTCAGAAGTGTCGACACCACCTGACACACCTTCCACACAACTTTTAGTTAGAGTGCCAACAATCTAAATATAAACTCAACATATCAACAGCAAATTAAAAGGCTAAACTCATAATGTCATACAGCATTGCTCACAAAAGGGACAAAAATATTTTTGAAATTTTAAAATTGGCAAATCATCTTTTGGGTCAATATTATTTCAGAAAAGAACCAACAACAACAATTTCATTCTGTGTAACCTTATTAACTTACAAGTTTTTCCCAGGTTTTCAGATCCTCTACAGGTGCGGGACCACCTCCTGTTGCCCGCAGTTCTTTCAGACGGGAAGCCTCCTTTTTCTTTGTTAGTAGTATAAGGCGCCTAGCTAGGCGGGTCAACTGAGTGCACTTTTGGGCCCTGGGGGGATGGGGGGGTCAACTCAGTGCACTTTTGGGGCCCCTGGGGGGATGGCCGGGTCAACTAAGTGCACTTTTAGGCCCTTAAAGTGCCTGAAAAACAAAAAAAAAAATCCATGTGAGATCCTACCTAGCCCTAAACTTGGCAGCGATTCAAATCTTGATTATGCCGTCATCCTAGTCTTTCATCACCTCTCTGGCTGCTTAATTTTGACACTTTAAAAACACAGCTGATCTCCAGCTGTTATTCTAAAAAGAAAAACAAGTCAATGTTAAAGTTTAAAAACTCTTTTTATTTAAGTATGATACAAAGTCAATTCTTCTTCTTTTGAAGTTTCAGGGACTTCTTGACCTCTTCCTTGTGTTTTCTTTTCTTAGGCTGGTCCAGTGGAATCAGATTTTCTTTGTTCTCCTGATGTACAATAGCTTCTACAGGAATGTTTAATAAATCACCCTGTTTGTCCCCGAGACTCATGTTTTCCTGCGTCTTTTTTTTTTCCTTGGGCTTGGGTGGTCTCTTCTTCTCAGACAGTTTGTTTTGGTCACACTTATCGGCCCAATGTCCAAATTTTCCACATTTGTAGCATAGGTCTTTCTTGGGACATTCAGGGGCCCAGTGTCCTAACTCTTTGCAGATGAAACAGGGGTTGGTCTCTCTGGTTTTCTTTGGAGCTTCTGTGTCTGTGGGTTCTCTACCTTTTTCTTCTATTTTCCACACTTTATCCTCCAGTTGGGTCATTTTGTCTCTCAGGTCAACGAATTCACTCATGACTTTCTCTTCAAACTTATTTGCATTCACTTGCATC